TTCAATTTTAACACACAAGAGTACTGAAACACTTACTCGGCTACAGTTTTTTCTAAGAGTTGTATGTTGGCCGAACTTTTCTCCATTAATCTCCTGTTTATTTTTACGCTCATGGAGTCGATGCAAACGTTATCTATAATTTATAAACACATTTTGTACTCATATTACACATTTTTTGTACTCATATTACAAATTACCGAGTTCCAATAAAAAGAAGTGACGAGTCCGGCCTCGGATTCTATACATTGGACTCGATGCCAATAGTCGTCCTCTTGAACGGTGTAAAAATGGCCGATGATCCTGCTAACGCCGAGATTGATTCCTTCTCATGATTGTAATGCTTCTTCATATCAATCACCAAAGCACGCGTGCGCAAGTGTCGTGTAGCTCTCACGGTCCAATTGCGCGCGTACAAGCAATGCACGCGGCGCAATAAAATGTACGAGCCAATCGCGCGCATAGAAGACAATGCGCGCGCTGTATACCGTTAGTACCGTTAACATAAATATTTACATTAGAGTCCGTATCCGGTTTCTGCTAATGACTAATAAATCCCGCGTAATTGAAAATAATAAATTAAATTATTGCAGAAACATTATAATACAAATTTCTTTACCAATATTAAAATAATTGTTATATGACAGGTTTCATAACATTAATATAAAATCAATATAACATTTGTTGTATAATATGTTATATTTATGTTATATTACTTCTATTTTTAAATAACGAAAAGCTAACAAGCAATGTAACAGCTATGAAATAGCTATTATATTGCGTCTAAAAAAGAAATTTATATTAATGTAATATAAATACCGTGTAACATCTGTTACATTACATGTTCCTTTCATGTTATGTTGCAGTTAAATTCAGTGTTTGCTGGGTAATGTAATAAAAAGTGGTATAATAGGGCTACAGGCGAAGATCCATTTTAAAAAAAATCTAACGCGCTATTAGTGGCACCTCATGTGTAGCGTGGAAGACCACTATTAATTATTATTACTAAATAATTATTTATACATCTTTTTTCAGTTATTTATAAATTTCACGTGTTCTTCTTTAAATATATTCATATTTCTGTTAAATATAATCATCTTAATAGATATATGTATCATTATGTATTATGAATAAAAAAATAGTAAAAAAAAAAGTAAAAAAACCTACATAAATCTCTTTGGGCGGTATTCATAGTCCGTTCTTATATTTAAAATCGTCTTAAGCACGGACTTATATTCGCTCTCTTCGTCACACATAGATTGTGTCTGACGAAGAGAGCGAATATAAGTTCGTTCTTAAGACGATCTTGAATATAAGAACGGACTATGAATACCGCCCTTTGACTTATTTCTTGTTAAATCAGGCCTCGGAATTATTTCATCTTTTCAGCCGATTCTCGTGGTATATGCCTCCTTTTCTCTTTTCACCGCGCGCGCGGCAGCCGCTAGGGCCAGCGCCGCCGAGCGTTAGGAGCAGCGCTATCCGATAAATGTTGGGTTCTTCTTCCTTGATCACGGTGTAAGAATATAAGGTGATTTCACGACCATTGTATTCTATCAAAAAATCTGTGATCAAGATGTCATAGTTAAGGCATGTCATACAAGATGTCACGTTGGTGCAAAATCCCAAGTAAAAAAGAATAGAAGATATGGATAGATGTGGATAGAAAAGGATAGATGATGAATCTCTAAAGCACATCTATATATAATTATAGTCCTAAATAATACAAATTTTTTAAATAAAACTTTTAACATTGTGTATAAAAATATATATTACTGACAAAATATTTTTTATTTTTTATAACAAATTATTCTTAGTTAAATTTGCAGAAGAAATAATTAATAATGTATTCCAGTCTTTATAGAAAATTAAGTTTCTTTAAGAAAATGAATATTTATAATTAAGTTCCGCAGGACAATAAATTTAATAAAATTATATATATATATATGTATATATTTAAAGTCCCTCAACACGTAGCCACCTAGCGGTTCAATGTGGAACAATGACAGGAAAATCACAAAAATTTGTTGCCGTGAAATCACCTTATATTCTTACACCGTGTCCTTGATCATTAAAAGTTAAAAAAATTTATTAAAAATATTTTTTTTATTTTTAAATTTATTATGTAAAAATATTTCAATAGATTTCCACGTCACCCAT